CAATATTTTCAGGGAGGGCTTATTTTGGGGGAGGGCTTAGTTTAGCACATGCATTCAAAAGTCTGATTGGGCTTATTATCTGGGGAGGTCTTAATTTCAGGGAAACAGGGTATAAAAGGATGTAAAACAATTATAGTCAAATTAAGGTTGAGATATAATAATCCATGATATACATGAATATATGTGAATTTAAAATATGTGATTTGATATGAAAAGCAGGTGATGACTATGGAAGAGATGCATGGAAATACTGTAACCAACTGACACACATTCTACAATTTGTAATGGAAGATGGGGTTTTTTATTGTTATGTTTGTTTGTCCTTGTTCAAAAACAAATAAAGATTGTTTTTAAAAAAAGAATTGTGCATACATTATTTGACAAATTTCTAAGTTGATGTAGGAAACAAGATGTGTGGCTGCCTTTGAACGGAAGGGTTTAATGCAAGCAGCATGTAATTTAGACATATTGTATTATTACCAGGCTGAGTAGCAGCACGGAGAGCATTAGGCAGTCGATTCACTTTCCTCATAACTTCCTTCCAAGACTTATCTACTTGCAAGAACATTTTGGCTTCTGCGGGCAACTGCCTTTGAATATCAGGAGCACTGAAAATGCTTTCCAAATAGAGCCAATTCCTCTGACATGTCAGCCATTCCTCCTAGAAAAAAAAATGTAGGCATAAAGGTTAATGGTGGGATTCAATTTTTTTTAACTACCGGTTCTGTGGTGTGGCTTGGTGGGCCTGGCAGGGAAAGGATACTGTAAAATCTCCATTCCCTCCTCACTCCAAGGGAAGGTTACTGCAAAATCCCCATTCCCTCCTCACTCCAAGGGAAGGTTACTGCAAAATCCCCATTCCCTCCCGATCAGCTGAGACTCAGGAGGCCCGAGAATACATGGGGGTGGGGCAAAGATAATACTGTTTCTCCAGAACTGGTCAGAACCTCTTGAATACCACCTCTGATAAAGGTATCAGAAAAACAATATTCACAACATTTGGAAATGCTCCTTTCTATTTGTGTGTAATAAAAATTACACAGGGCACACTTTACAGGTATAACTGGGTGCATTCCCTCTACAAATCTATGAGTGTGGATATTGGTTCTCAAGCAAAATTGCCCCCAATCTATTTCAGCAGAAATAACGGAGGAAACCCCTTTCAAAATCCTTTTAAAGTGAAATTATTTAATATTCCCTGAAATTAGAGCCAATACTTTTGTTTACATCTCTTCAAACCTTTAATAAAGAAGAATCAATACTACTTGACTGATAAATTAATTTATTTGTTAGATTCTTCAAGAGCTCGACAGTACATTCAGCGTTTTCCCCATAACAAATGTGGGTTGAGAGATAGTGACTGCTCCAATGTCATATCATAGCTAAGAGAGGACCTGAACTTAGATCTCTTTGAATCGAGTTGAATATTTTAATTATGTTCTATGTGAGCTCTTAAATATTAACATTCGAAAGAATATTCTTATACAATAAAGTAAAATTTCCCTCAAGTTAAGCTTGACTCCTGGTGACATTACCAGGTTTTTTTTGGCCACAACCAGAAATATTTTGCAGTTGCCTTCTTCTAGTTATAAATGAGGTTACAGCCTTTCACTTTCTGGAGACCTCCCATTCAAATTACTAATTTGTCTGATTGATTTAGCTTTTTTGAGATTAGCTAAAATACTGCCAAGAGAACTGTGCCCAAAATGAACTAAGTGCGTATTAAATAACATTGTCAACATGATGTCTTTCTTTTAAGACAAACTTCAAAATGTAGAAGAAATTATTTAACAATGCGGTACGCACCAATGTCTGATTGAATAAAGAGAGCTGCTTCTGCCATTCATCAACTCGTGGCTTGAGAGGGCCTACATACCGTGAAGAGGCAATCGTTGCTATATTAATAGTACTATCATCTAGAATGACCTTAAAGAAAAAGTAAAACAACATACTCATTTCTGTTAAGTGAACTTCCAGAGATACATGATAGTTCAGTATGTCTTGTCTCAAGACCTCCCTCCCACTTTTAAGAATTATAGAAGACTCCCAAATAACTTTGTATGGGTTATATTTATCAATATTTACCTGCAGTGTGGGTCTAGGCCTGTGTGGTCCTCCCCCACTCCAACTTACGATTGTTATTCTGGGCTCAGTGGAGGACATAATATGAGGACTACCTGTATCTATTATTGGTTGAACACTAACTGAACAAAAATAGCTTTGAAAATGGATTTGTCTACATCCTTGTTCACCCTGTACGGTAGATAAGTTTCAGACAGTTAGCATTGCATTGTATAATGGCTTTCCTGGATGCTGCCTTGGCCAAAAAGGAAGAGCCGGTTCTGGGGACTTCGGATGGGGTGTGGAGGAGGGTCAGGAAGAAACAGGGAATTCCGTGCCTGGGAAGATGGGCAAGAGGAGGAGGAGAGGCCAGGAAACTCATAAGGACTGTTGGGGGAGTGGCTGGAGGAATGCCTGGCTGAAAATGAGAAAGAAGAGACACAACTGCAGCCAGGAAGCTTGGATGACCAGCCAGAAGTGTGGGGCAGAGAAGGGGTGCAGCTGCAGTCAGTTAGCAGGTATGAGGAGAAATTGCCTCCTCCACCAGTGCACAGGGCCAAACAGAGAACACACAATGGAGATTGACGAGTCTACTCGTGAGGAAGCAGGACAGGACAAATTGTAAATACCAAAAGAATTATGTTTTCTCACTGAGGCTTGGTATGCTTGACCAATAAAATACAAATGGTAACTATATAAGTGACCAATAGGCCAACAAAAAGGAATTTTTATTTTAAAGTTGGTTGATCTCTATGCACGTATGTGGACTGCAGTAGATTTTTTTCCTAGAACCGAAAGGTAGGAATGGCAGGGCACAGGGACAAGGGGACTATCCAGTGGGAAAACATAGTAGCCTGCTGTTTGGATTTAATATCTTATGGGTTTTTGCCAGATTTCTCAATCTGGACAGAATAAATAGAGACATTTTGCTTTAAAAGCTCATTTAGACAAAAATAATTTCTAACCTGAATGTCATCTGTGCCACCAAGGATGAAAACATCTTTTGAATCACGATGAGGAATTACAACAAATTCTGTTGTTTTCCAGGCATCTTCCACCTGGAAGAAAAATATAATGCAATTCTGAGTATAATTTTGACCAACTAGATGCATTCATACCACATAAGCTTATCAGCAAACAAACAGCATGTACAGCTAACAATATGAATGCCTCCATTTATGATTTGTTTACACAACAGAAGCCTCAATGGAGGCAATTTTGATAGTTCTTATAGTAGCTGTAATTTTCTCTATCTGAGAGTCTAAACGTGGTCCAAAGTGGGAAACTTTTCCAGCCTATCTGACCTTAGAATGGAGCTCTCCCAAACCAGTCCTAACGGGCGGACTGAGTTTTCGAACTGTGCATGCAGAGGCAAAGGGAGGCGTGGTCAACTAAAAACATCACTCAGTCCAAGGGCAGATTGGCTGTGTTAACCCAGCATTTGGACTCTCCAAGCAGTGCACTGGAGAAGGGCAACTATAGGCTTCTCTACCACTAACAGGTTTGTTTGTTGGTAAAATGGATAATCATACGTTGATAAAGTTAAGCTGCTGAACAAACAAATACACGGGTAACTCTTGACTTATGATCACATTTGAGACCACAACATCAGTTGCGCCACAAAGTGGTTGTTCAGTGAGTTACACTTGATTTTACAACCTGTTTTGCAACCTGGTTGTTCAGTGAGTCACCTCAATTGTTAATTGAATCACATAGTTATTAAGTGAATATGGCTCCTCCCATTTACTTAGTTTGTTGGCTGGGAGGGTTGCAAATAGAGATATGTGACCCCAGGACATAGCAATCATGATAAATACATGCCAGTTGCCAAGCGCCCACATTTTAATCATGTGGCCACAGGATACTGCAAAAAATTGTAAGGGCAGGTTATAAGTCATTTTTTTCAGTGCCTCTGTAACTTCAAATGGTCGTTAAATGAATAAGTCAACCACATACATAGGAGGAGGTGGGAAGGAAAGATGGAAGAAGAGCTTAAAATCACTTTCAATTTTGCCTGTAAGAAGCAAAACAAACAAACAAAAATGCTTGATAAATTATTATTTAGCAAAACCCAGTTTGCAACCCTGTATCATAAAACTTCAGCTACCCACATTGGTATCATGGCAACTATTATGTCTATTCCTTTTCTGATTCCCTTATTCATGAAGTTTTTCTACTGATGTAACTTTATAATTCAAGCAGTGAACTATTCAACATTTACTTGGAAGAATGCTGTGCTCTTTCCTATGTTGTATTAGAGATTGTTAAACTCCAAGTGAGTTCAATAAATATATTATTGAAGCTTCAGTATAACCAATCAATACAATGTATTTCAGTCCAAGATTAGTGTTTTTAAAATTGTATTAAAATGTACCTTTTTGAGAATAATCTCCAGAGAAGCTTCTCCTGAAGCTTGTCCAGAAACATCCTGAATTTCCTGAGTATATTCAAAAGCACTGATCTGAGTAAGTCGCTCCAAGGTTAATGGATTTTCCACATCTATTAATGGTGTACCAACTATTTGTTCCAGAATTACCCAGTGTCTGGGTTTCAAAAAAGGATTTCTAAGATCTGTGATAACTGGAAGCTGAAAGAATGAAAAGTATATCAATACAGCTCAATTCATACCATTTTCCTGTTTCAGCGAATAATCGGATTAACCAACAGGCTTACAACATAATAATAAATTATGATGTGTTCCATCCAATCTTAAGAGATCACTAGCCCATAACTTTCCAATATTTTAAATACATATTTAAATATAATAAGATTTTATTTGGATTGCTCTATCTTTTTCTTCTATACCAACAGTGATATCTGTATTATTACAGGCTATGTTTTTTGAATTTCTGTGCTAACATAGTTTGCTAATCATGTGAAACACTATTTATCCTTATTCTTCCAATTTGGTCAATATAAAATGTCCTTTATGCTGGTTCAGAGACGCACCTTTAGTGTATCTGACCCTCCATGGGCCATGAGCTAACAAAAAATCTCTTTATCTCACTCCTCAAATAGAAAATAATAATGCTCTTTACTTATACTTTTCATTCCATCTCCTGCATGATCAACCATGTATTTGTCCATGATGCAGGTGCTATAAAAATAAAATCTCTTCTAATAGGGTACTTTATGTAGGATAGTGGTAAGGGAAGAGTATTTGTTAAAACTGCATAGGCAATCCATCAACAGGGTAGTTACATGTCCAAAATACCACTGCACTGCACTGCATGCAGGAAGTTTTCTGAATGGCTGCAAGTATACTGTCATGGTAGATATTTTGGTTTGTATTGCTGAAAAAGACTAAAATGACTAATCCCTTTGCAGATCTTTAAGTTATGTGATTAATGGAGATCAATAATTTTACAGTTAGATATCAGAATATGCTCTAGATCACATCCTACTAGCAACTTCACCATGCTGCAATAGAACTCTGTTAACTAGCTATTAAGCTATGAATCTGACCTAAAAGTAAAACTATGGCCAGCAGTTTAACTCAAAATGTATGTAATATTTATTATTTTTTCTACTCATTTCTTGATTTATTCACATTTGATCTTGCTTCACTATTTACTCTGAAAGCTCCTTACTCATCCATGTCTTGTCTCTTTAACTCTGAATGTAACACTGTAAACATGAATATGACATGAATATGACATAATTTTATTTCCTTTTAGAAACTTTCCTAATTCATTGCCTGTCTCACTTTTTTTCCTTTGAAAGTGTTTCTTTATATTACATTTACAAATGGCCATTTGTACCTTTTCTTTCATTTTCTCCACCTTCTCCTTGAGTTGTGGGACAACATTATTAGGTGGCAAGCCTTTTTCCAGCTGATTCACAAATTTAGCATATTTGGAAACTTGACCATTCAATAATTCTGGATCCAAGCTTTCAAATTTGGACTACAAAAACATGTAAGTAAAAAAGTATGAGTTAGAAACTTTCTTAGTATATGTGTTATAAGAAATTTACTTTAAAATAATCTACAAAAACCAAATCTAATATAGGTATAATAAAAAAAATAACTTCATTGAAGTCAGTAGAATATTTATTTAAAAATAAACCTGAAAATTAAAATCATTAAATTAGTATGTATTTCTTTTTTGAAAGAAGCTTATCCCATAGAACGATATTTCTTCATGGAAACCTGGCCCTTCCTGGAGTATGAATGTGAGAGGAACCTATTCAGAATAAGAGGTTTTTTTTTTTTAATGAACTGTACAGTGGTTGGCCTTTGGTATTCTGCTTTGTTTTCTGTTGTTATTTTATTATTTTGTACTTTGGTCCTAGATATTTGTGATACTTTGTTTTTCATTCTTTTGTTTTCATGTTTCAATACAATTGTAATTTATTCAGAGTTCCTTTAAAAAGTTAGGAAGCCTAAAAAGTTAGGAAACCAAAAAGGGCTACTTGGGGCTGCCCTTAAAAAACCATTAAAAATGTACTTTCTGGCTACTATTAGCTATATATAATCTAGATTTTGCAGGCTGTGCATTAGTTGCTATTTGGTTTCGAAATACAATTTAAAGTGCTGTTTTTATCTTATAAAGGCCTTTATGGCTTGGCATTTGAATATTTTATCTTTTTTTTTAGTTGTTCTCTTTCAGACCAAATTAACTTAAAAGCCAGGCAACCCAAATTTAAAAAAGACAGTTTACTTTAATTTGGCCCACAATATATTTGTCTCCTTTTAAAATATTACAGATTGTTAAATCATTACATTTAGATGGATAACATTAAATTCCAATATACTTAATTTACCTCCATCCATTCGTCTTCAAGTACTGTCCATTCAGAAAGAGAGTCCCACAACAGTTGTTTCAACTTCAATTCTGCAGAAACTTCCTCCAAGGTATCAAATTTTGTTACATCCACCTTTCGAGAAACAAGTGAAATAATTGAATTACATTCATTTGAAGCCCATACGTTGCAAAATATGGTACATATTTTTAAAAAATCTACAATACTAAATACTGATAAATTGGAAGAGAAAAGATCAATCCATTTCAAATACTCATATATAAAGCTAATATTTCTATGATTATTTGCTATAAAAAGCATTATTTAACAAACTAAACTATGATCTCTGGCTTGTGTGTTTTTTTTTAAATAAGGCAACATTCTCAGGAGATAAAATTAAATGGTAACTAAGTCCTAGTCAGAAAGCAAAGGAAAGAGAGAAGAATGTGCGACTATAGTAAGGCTTTGTTAGATCCATTGCATATAATATATTGTATTATGCCTCAGATTAAGAATGTGCAAAAAAACCTGAAGCATAATTTGTTTAGTGCTTAGGAAACAGCTCTACTTGAAATACTGTATAGAAACATTCAGCACTGCCTACATTTTGACAAGGTAAAACTTGAAATGGTTTTCAAGTGGAAATTGAAACAACCTCCTTCTTCACTTGTTTTGCATGCCAAGATCACAGAAGAGGTAACATTTCATTTTACTTCCATGCAGTGGTGGGATTCAGCCAGTTCGCATCTATTCAGGAGAGCCGATTGTAACTTTCTAAGCAGTTTGGAGAAGCGGTTGTTGGAAAAAATCTTATTTTGTTTTTTTTCCATTTTACATGGCTAATCCTGTAAGGAAGGCAGGAAGGAAACATTCTGGTGTTGTTTCTAGCCTAATCTTTATTGCCCTGCTTACAGAAACTGCCTCTCCGGTTAACCCATATTACATTGTAACAGCTAAGACGAAGCACCCATCGGCATGAGTGACATTGAATTGGCCATGCGCACACGGTCACATGATCACTGAGCCATGCCTACCCAGCTGGTCATTAGGGCAGAGAACCGGTTGTTAAATTATTTGAATCCCACCACTGCTTCCATGACTGAAAACTGCAGTCACTGTTGTAGTAATCTTTCTATTTGTAACTCAAAACAGTGGTAACATTGGTGTTTAAAGCATATATCAACATAAATTTTGGCATTTATCTGCCTTCTTTAACTTGTATTTATTTTTTCATTGCTTTGCCTTTTCTGTAGGCAAGGTTACTTGTAGACAGCTCATACAAACTCTAACTACCAACCTATAAGAACACTAACTTCTGCATTAAAAACAAAGCAGTCATTTAACAAATAAGCTGGCATTTGCAAACAGATTTTCTTGCAACATTGTCAACAGTAGCAGGGACATACGGTAATTGCTTTTGGTGCAATAATAGACAGGGAAAAGATTGAAAATCAGGAAATTTGTCATGGCCACAATACAACAATGTATTGTAAAACTATTTATTTAATTTATTCAATTTATTTGCCATCCATTTCACAGTTCAGGCTATGAACACTTACAATACTATGTATTGTAAAACAATGTACTGTATTCTAAAAAAAGATATATGATTGATTTCATTATTTCATGAGATGGATGATTAAAAAATACTGTGTGCACATGATTGAATTAGTTTAGATGCAATTTAAAACAGATTGGTTAACATGGGACTGTGGTGGTTCCATACACTTCTGTGAATTATAAACAAATATTTTTAATTAACCACAAATATTTAGTCACTACACATTTAGGAACTGCATCCAGTTATCAAAGCTATTCCTGTGTTTTTCTCCTGTAGCCTTATTTATTACACATTTATTGTGTGTAAATAATTATTTGTTTGGTTACTTCAATGCTTTCACATGACCCAGAAATGTAAGTGCTGAATAGAATGCAAAAAGAAATGAAAACACTCCTGAATCCCTAATAAAGAAATATTATAATGAGACAGAGAAGGGGGGGAAGGGGGGGAGGGAGAGACAGAGATGCACCTTGGATAGTACATTATAATTGTATTGTATTCTGTTCAGCACTGTATTATAAGAACCAGTAGGGCTGAATGATACAATCAAAATCAACAAATCATTTACTATTGTTTCAATAGAACCATTCTGAAATATGTAGAATTAGAATAATAGTCTCATTAAATCAACTAAATAAGGGAATTCCTAATAAATTAGGAATTCAAGCACTCTTTCCTAACTCTGATTTTATCGTTATGCCCCTATGAAATTGGTTAGGCTCAAGGCATTCAATATTCTATCACAGAATGGAAATTTAAACCTGGCCCTCCTACTGCAGGCCAGGACTACCATTAATATAGCACACCATCTCATACATCATAGTACTTGTTTGATTTTGCAAATCATAATTTAAACATCCATCTACAAAGCAAAATGGAATTGTGGACAAATTACCTTGAAATTTTTCTGATAGGATTTATACTGGAATGCTCGCTTTTGTATTTCATCAAGAATGGTCTGCAACTCGCTTAGAACTACTTTCACTTTCTCTTGATCAGCATCTGCATCCAAAATCTGAGGATCCTATTAAAAAAAAAATCAAACATTTTATAATCAGCTATCATTAAGGTTAATATAAAAGTTATACACTAACCATAAAATTAAATTCAGTGAGGAGACAGATTCTATTCAGTGTACAGTACAGTGTAAATGCAATTAATTTTCTCTGCTTGATTTAATTCTTGCTACAAAAAGCACCAAATAGCACTGATCAATTTTTCCCTGTTATCAACTGAAAAAAGACTAGGCAAGTATTTGTTTCAATATCTGGTAAAAGAGCAGCTCAGTTGAGCAGGAATACATAATAATTGGATGGTTCTTGACAATTCTATCACTTGCTTACATGGGGAAGGCAGAACTGAGAAGTCTTTTGCTCATGGTCTTGATTTTCCAAGAAGCAGTTAGAGCACTGTTCAGCCTTGAAATTCTATCCAGTTCTATCTATTAAAAGTGGGGCTATAAAGGTTTTCCTATCACTTTTAATGTGTGCGTGCCATTAAAATAGATTTTTCTGAGTGAAATCAAAGCTTGCCATATTTCTTCATTTAAAAACCCAAACCCATGTGGAATACCTGATTTATGAGGTTCCTTACACTGGAGCCATTAGGTTGCATTGTTTTTCTTGCTTCTTAGTCAAAGACTTTTCATTGCTTTTTTTATCCAAGACATTTTTTAAAATATCAGATGCTAACTCTGAGAATTATTGCTGGGGAAGCATAGTTCTACCACATAGTATGGCTTTCTAATTCATCTTGGGTTTAGCTCACCCAACTACTGGAACTAATAAGGGTAAATAATTAGTAAATAATAACAAGAATTATATTATGAAAAGACCTGCAAATAGAAATAGAACAACTGTGGCAAGAGAGTATTTCGATTTCGATTTTATTGTATTTCTATGCCGCCCTTTTCCCAGAGGGGCGGCTCCCAACCAAATCGGGGGGGGGGGTACAAACAGAAAAAAAGAAAGACAACAAACTACATAACACCACAATTTTAAAAACAATCAACAGCCACATCATTCGAGCGGGGACAGGCACTCATCAGCCCCATG